ATATTCAATCCATAACCATTTTCAAAATCATTGGAGAAATATCATCTGACCCTGTGAGAATTATAAAGACAAAGGTAAAAAAGACAATGGAAAAAAAAATGGCATAGAAAATTACACAAACAGATAAAAAAAATGAAATATATATATATATATATATCAAGCAAACAAATTATAAGACAGCATAAACAGAACAGAAGGGTTTAATAACAAGTGTTGAACAATAATGGGAAGCCATTGATCAGAAAATGTTTTAATAACAGCTTAATTATTAAATCATTTAGTTTACACGGTGTAAATAATTGGCTTAGCTGTTAATGTTATTGCTACTGTTTTCTTTCTTTTTTTGTTTTTGCCTGTTTGTGTAATTTTCTTTGTCTCTTTTTTGTTGTATTTTTTACCTTTGTCTTTATTACCTATAACAGATTCCTTCTGACCCTGAAGCTTTTACAATTGTATATATATGTCATTTTCCTAATTTCACATTTTTTTTTCTCAGTAAGCTCAGAATTGACATTATCATCATTTTCGATCTCGTTCCCGGCTAGCAATTTTTCAATGTAAAAAATATTTTTTGGGTATGATTTTCTAAAGAGATTATGAATATGATGGCTTTTGTACAAATTAACCAAAAATGGGAAAATCACGACGTGGTGGATAGTAAAGAATGTTAGTCACACTTAAGCCTAATCTATAGAGGCGAGTAACCTAAATATAGGGATGTTAAGCCTAGGTTTACACAAAACGAGTCTCAACTAGTGATTACAGATTAATGTTTGACTAACATATATAAAAATGACATTCAAATCAAGTCATTGTCTTTTGCATAAAATGAAACTCTTTTGTTTTCAATAAAATTTTATTTCTCGGAAACAATCAGATAACTTATTTATATATGTATATATATATACATTACCAAAATATGGTCTTGAACTCCTTCCCATAGACATCTCAATTCTTTGTAGAACTAGAAGCTGTACTGAACTAACGTTAGTTCAATGTACATATGTATTCTAAACCTATTTTCAAAGTTTAATTATATAATTAGTTTTTAACTATACATTCTATAGTTTCTAACTATGTATTCAATAATTTATTAATCTGTGAGACAAGAGCTATACAGTCACTAACTAATAAGTAATATATCTACATAGTTTTTTTCATAAGGAATAATAATAATATTTTTTAGGCATTATCCAAAAAATATGAATTAAATAATATCCCTGATATTTTCATTATTTATTAATTTTTCGCCCAAGTCTACACTCAGGACTATCATGTCTAGTCATACGTAATTTTGAACTGAAAATCCAGAGAAAAATCATCTCCAGTTCTTGGGCTACTGTTGACTGGTCGAATGTTGGAATTTGACTTTCACTCTTATAGCAGGCCCAGCATGGCCAGGTGGTTAAGGCGCTCGACTCGCAATCTGTGGGTCGCGGGTTCGAATCCCCGTTACACCAAACATGCTCGCCCTTTCAGCCGTGGGG